TTCGCCCGGAGCACCGACCGGCCCCGTAACACGTACGCGCTTCGCCAGATGAAGGCGCCCGCCGACGCGCTACCGCTCGCGTCCGCCGCCGCACCGTCCCCGCTGCCGCCGCCACACGCCCCGCTCAGCATGCTCCAACGCGCGCGCGCCAACCTCGCAGGCGTCGACCTGCACGTCGCCTCGTCCATGTGCCTCAACTTCGGCTCGTCCGTCAGCCTGGTCGTGCTCAACAAGGTCGTCATGGACAACCACGGCTTCAAGTTCGCCGCCACCCTCACCTTCTTCCACCTCGTTTGCACCTTCTTGTTGCTGCGCCTCGCCGCCGCACTGGGCATCTTCGAGATCAAGAGGCTCCCCGTCCGCGATGTCGCCAAGCTCGCCGCAGGTACTATGGGCTTTATCACCTTTACTAACCTCAGCTTGCAGCATAATAGCGTCGGCTTCTACCAGGTCATGAAGGTCATGACCACCCCTACCGTCGTCATTATCGAGGCCCTGCTGTACCAGAAGTATCTCGAGAATACCCTCAGGCTCTCGCTCGTCCCAGTTTGCCTCGGCGTCATCATCACCACCGTCACCGACTTTCGCCTCAACGCCGTCGGCGCAGGCTATGCCATTGCCGGCGTCATCGTCACCTCGTTTTACCAAATTTGGTCGGGCACGCTGCAGCGCTCGCTCGACTGCAATGCCCTGCAGCTTCAAGCCTACGTCGCCCCTCTGGCCGCCCTCTTTATCCTCCCGTTTGTCCCCCTGTTGGACAACTGGTCCACCAACGACCTTGAGTCGATTTGGTACTATAACTTTGCCCCAAACAACCTCTCCCTCATTTCCGTCACAGGCTTCTTCGGCTTCCTGGTCAACATCTCCATCTTTCTCGTCATCGGCCGCTCGAGCCCGCTCTCGTACAATATCCTCGGCCACTGCAAAACCGTCGTCGTGCTCCTCTCCGACTACGTCCTCTTCCACCGCCCATTCACGTTCAAGTCCTCGTTCGGCATCATCCTCACCCTCATCGGTGTCTTTTGGTACACAAACGTCAAGCTCGAGCGCGCCCGCCTGGAGAAGGAGGCCAGGGAGCGGACCCCGGCCCCGAGCATAAGTGACACCAAGCAGGACATCCTGGAGGAGGAGAAGATAGAGCTCGTCACCTCGCGCGAAGAATAGAGGCTGCCGCCCTGTGTTTTGGTTTTTATTTTTAATACAATGTACTCGTCTCCGCCAAGGCAGTCTGGTGTACTACACCCGCGGCTGGAGAGACGGAAGGAATTATTAGGACGAGCGTTCGAGCTGCGGCGTTCCATTCGACGCTTGTGTGCAACGGCCACCCCCCCTGTATCGACTAATGTTTCTTAGACTAATGTTTCTTAGACTAATCTTTTGCTTTAGAAGTTGTTTTGCGGCGCGCTGCGCGCCGCTGTCCTCGTGCCGTGGGCCGGAAGCGTTGCCGCGAAGGACGCACCGAGCCCGTGAGTGTAAAGTGATCTCATCTTTTGCACCGTCTCGCTGTACCAGGCGCTTGAAAGCGGAAATGCGATTCAACGCGGAAATGCGATTCCACGTCACTGCCCCAAGCGTGAGTGTCACGGGAGCTACAGTACTTGTACCCTTACCCAAGGGTACTGTACCCTTGGTACTGTACCCTTGGTACTGTACCCTTGGTACAGTACAACAAAGCAGCAGGAGAATGCGAAACGTGTACGCAGCACGAGCGGCTGGCCCCGTTTACCCAACGCCGCAAAACAACACCGCCGATCTATGCCGACCACATGAGATCGGCGTGCCTCCTCAATGGCCTCTCCTCGTCCTCCTCGCCCTCCTCGTCCTCCTCCCCCGACGAAGCCTCTCCCGTCCGCGAATGCGCGCTCCCCCT